TTGATTGCCTTGATGTGTTGATGCTACATTTTGTAATGTTTCATTTATTTATGCTAATTGTCGTTGTGGCGTGCCGTATTCTTCAATACTAGATGGGTCATCGGCGTCAGTTGCGATGTTAAACATTTCTGGTGATCTGGGTTGTTCTGGTTCCGGTCGGTCATTCTGTGTGAATAATGCTCTATGTGTTAAATTGTTATCACTAGCGTATTCGCGTAGCATATGATCCCTAACAATTCTTTCAGAAATTTGTTTTTCTTGGACTTTTAATTTATCTAAATGGTCTTTTCCATCGAATCGAGTTCCCTTGTTGCTTTGCTTATAAAATACAGCGTCTTTATTCGGAAAAGGCTTTAAAGCTTCTTCATTGTCATTAACCAGTTCCAAAATATCTTCATATCTAGATCTTCTATGAAATTGTATACCAGCATTTTTAACTACCATTCTTTTTATATATTGTTTTGGAAAATAGCATCGCTTAATTCTGTTAAATAATCCTGTCGTTTCCTGAGATGCTCCAGAGAAGTTTCGGATATTCTTGGATTATGCATTTCCCCTTTCAATCTTGCTATTTCGCTTTCGTAGTTTGCTTTCATCTGACCCTCTAATAATCTTCTTTTAAATGCCATATTTTGCACCTTAGCTTCTCTCGCTTCCAGTTGCTTTTTTGGGTTCATTAAATAATCAATATTTTGTTGCCTATATACCAGATCTTCTGGTGATTTCACCACAGGATTATCTAACGCTTTTTATGCATTATATATTTTTCTGGAATTTATACCTATTATATAGAACCGTTTATATATATTATTATTTAGATTTTTTAGTTCTTGGTTGAAACATAGCTTTACACATATTCTTTGATTTTTCTTGTTTCCGTCTCATAATTTCGGCATTCATTGATTTCATTTGTAATTGTATTAATTGCTAATGTGTTAAATTTGCATAAGGGTTTGAAGGTTGTATAATCTGTTCTTGTTGCGGTTTTTGTTGTGGCTTGGGTGGTGTAGCTTTTGAAAGTGGAGGCGCTATTTCTTGATATTGTTGCTGTTCCACTAAATTATTTTCTTGAATTTCTGGTGCTAAGGGTTCAACCTTTATTTTTGCTTTAGTTCTAGGAGCGTATTTCTTTGTTGGCTTATCAATAATATTACTTGGTTTCTTTTCACAGACATTAGGATGGCTATATCTTAGCGTTTGTATATTCATCGTTTTTTACAGTCCTTACACTCAACAGTATCTTTAATAACATCTTTAATTTTATTCGTTTTTGTTCTTCCTTTTCTGGTTCGGGTGTTGGTATTTCTGTTTCAGGTTGTGTCTCAGTTGCTTCGTTTTCAGGTTCATTATTGACGGCTACATCATCAGAGATTTTGTTCTGTCATATATAAAACATTCTATATATTTTCTATCGTAATTCATACAGCTTCGGTATTATGAAACAGGAGACTAAAACTAAGATTTACGCCGTTAAAGTCTATAAGGTTGCCCGTTTCGTCAGTTATTCTGAAAGTTAATTTTCTTATTGAACGACGTGAGACATTAATAAAATCATAATCTGTAATACCATAAGGATCATGTATAATACCAGCGAATGAAGCATTTACAGGAACTTTTTTTGTTATTGCATTTGAAAAAGATGAAGGACTGTGAAAAATATTGTTTGACAATTCCGGACATGATATATAGATGTCTTGGTGATTTAACAAATTTATAAAACCAGACTCCCATGGGACAGTTGTAGTTGAAAAATCTAATGGTTGTGGTGTATTCAACGCATCATTTATACTGTTTATATTATTTAAATCAATAGTGTTTGAAAACGAACCTGCATTTGGTGAAATCATATTGTCGGGAAGCACTATAACAATTGTTTCTGTATAATTTGATTCAATAATGATTTTATTTGATATCGTGTTATATGTAACTGTATACGTGTTATCTCTACCTATGACATCAAAAAAGAAATTTAATTCAGTTTGTATAACATTTGCTAATTCCGGCGGTGTGTAATTTCCTATCGGTATTGCGATTCTTGTAAAAACTGTTCCTGTTGGTGTAGCAGGTGCTAAAACCCTGTGTTGAAAATATAGATTTTGATTACTTTTATTTGTTGAATACCACGTGTTCGGTATTGCCAATTCATGGACTTGCATAATTGTCCCGTCGGGTACTTCAAAATTTTCCCTTGATTCTATTTGAAAATCGCTGATATCACGGCTATTTGATGTGCGGTATTTTGAATTTACATACACTTTTTTATATGTCAATGGTCTGATACTCATATACTATATTTTATGCTTAGATATTAAATACATATTTTTTCATTTTTCGCCTATTTTTCTGAATTAGTTTCTCATTTAGTTTTGGATTTGCGTTATATCTGTTCTCCACAAATTTTGGATGATAAGGCGTATTTATACGTTTAATTCTATCCATAAATGAATTTCCTATATATACTTGTCCACATGTCCCACATATTATTTTTTCCTGATTTAGCTTGTTTGTTTTCTTTCTTTTCTTGCGTCTTTTCAGT